CGCTGTCGCTTATCTGCACGATCCCCCCCCNCCCCCCCCCCCCCGCCTTCCGTCCTTGGCTTTTCCTGTGCTGTTCATCCAAGCTAGTAAGTAAAAACTCCCGGTTCCAGTCCCATTCCATGCCCTTACCCCGCGCCGCCCCGCTATGCTATGCTGTGCTGTGCTGTGCCATGCTATGCTATGCCGTACACTTTTCTTATCCAGACATCTACTCAAAACCCAAGTTCGAACTCCTCCATGATCTGTTCGTACAACGTCCTCTCATGGTCGTCGTCGTCGTCTACAACACCGATGCTGGTCGTCCCCGCCCCCGGAAACAGGTATTTCTGCTGCTCCCCGAAACAACTCGATGGCATCGTGTCCTTGATGGGAGGGGAGGCGGGCAAGTCCTCGTCATCGCCGCTGCTGTCCTCCGAGTACTGGGTATCCGAGGCCGACGAGGAGGGGATCCTGGGGGCAGAACCCAGGTTGTCGCTCCACCTTCGCGATGTGAATTCCGAGAGGTGATCTAGCTCGTCATCGTCGTCAGCGTCGGTAGTGTTCATCACGAACGAGCTCAGGTTGAATTGCGTGAGGGGGCCTGTGCCGACGTTGTCGGGAGGTGGAACTGGTGTATCTGAGGATGATGGCCCCCCATGCTGCTCTTGGCTGTAGGTGAATATCGGCGTGGAATGATCCTGCGCGTCTTCCTCCTCGCCGCTGCCACCGAGCCACGACCACTCTTCCAGGTCGACGGTTTCTGGCTGGCTGCTTTCCGCGTCGAACGACCACAGGTTCTCCGGAATCCAGTCGCTCGGCGCCGGCGCGGGTGTCGGGGCTGGGGCTGGGGTCGGGTCCAGGGAGTAGGCTTCTCCTGATTTCAAGGTCGCTGATCGGGTCTTCTTGACCGTACGGTGGATCGTGCGGTCTCCAATCGGAAGCACGATGATGTACTGTCTGACTTCCTCAAGGAACTTGACGCTCTTCGTCCGGGTGCTGCGTGGTGCGAGAGTTGGGATGGGCGAGATGAACTCGACGTGCTGAGAAGAGGACTGATGATAGCTCAGCGGAGATGCGTCGCGGAGGGAACTGCCTTGGACGACGGCCTCATTTGCAGTGAAGGTGGGCAGTGAGCCTCGGCATAAGATCTCAGCCATGCTGGGCTTCTTCAAGATCGGAGTCGGAGACGCCGCACAGGGGTTTGATTTGCTCTTCGGAGTCCGGGTATCAGGTGACTGGTGCGACCCCGAGGGGCTGCTGGTGGTCGTAGTAGTTCCAGGGAAGAAAGGACCCAGCAGACAAGTATCGTCGCAGTTCTTGCTCCTGCAGGCGGGTGTGTTAGTCTTCAGCCGACGCGAGAGATGCAGCAGGGGACGGATATCGATGGCAGCTTCACGTACCAGTTGATCGTCTGAGGTGATACGGTCTTGCAGCCGAAGCGCAACTTTGACCAAGTCCGCCAGGACGCATTTTCCAGTCGGGCGACAGCATTGTGTCGTTTCCAGGAGGCATGGTCCAGCTTCTCCTTGGCCTCCGCCCAGGTTCTGCTTTTGGTCACGAGGTGCCTCCAGGATGCCGAGACGTCCTCTTCCCGCCATTGGTGCAGCAGGTAATTGACGTTTCCAAACGGTTGCAACGAAATGGACGAGCTATCTCGGCATTCAGGCATTGGCAATGGCCCGGAAGCGTCTGTCGCTGTCGCTGTCGCTGTCGCATCCCGTTTGACCGTATCAATCGTGCCCGGAAGCCCGGAGATGGGGTAGTCCTCCACAATCGGGGTCGCGTGCTCCGGCCTAGCAAGTCCAAGTCCGGGGTGGATATCGTCGTCGTCGTCGTCGTCGTCGTGGTCATACGAAGGGAAGTCGATTGACGTGTCTTTGTTGCCGGAGTTCCAATTGAGCGTGAACGACGTCTGCACCGAAGTGGTCAACGTCGTCGACGTTCCGTCGTTCCATTGGAAGTCCTCGGGCTCACTCTCGCTGGCCTCGAAGGTCTGGCTGTAGGTCCGTCGGTACTCCAGGGTTTGGTGATGGTGGTGACATTGCACTTTCTCGCCCGACTCGGTCACCTCGCCCGGCGCTCGATACAGCACAATGTCTTCCCACTCGAAGTACTCGTCCTGGGGCATGGAGGTGTCGTCCATGTTGCTGTGCTCGGCGATGTCTCTCTGGTGGGTTGGATCGCAGCAGAACGGTCCCCAGATCGACAATGAGACGAGGGCATGGCCAGGATGAAGAAAAGCGAAATGTGGGGGGGGGGGCGGGCGGGAGTTATATAGATATGGGTGTTAGATATATATAGATCTAAATGTCGATCTACCGGTATATCGATCTATACATGGATAGATGTGGATATATCTATATGTATATATATATATATGTGGGTGTGTGTGTGTACATATATATATATATATATATATATACCTTATTGATATGTCCAGAGGTGACAAGGAAGAGGAGGGAAAGGTTTGGATGGCCGAGCACCGTGAGAATTATGTATGATGTGTGTATTGGATTGCTCGGAGGTTTTGTTGGGGAGAAAGCAAGAGAAAAAAGGGGCCTTCCTTTTTTCCCTCCCCCCGGGCCCCCGGGTCGGCGTCCGGTATCCGAGGGGTTCAGAGGGTTGAGAGGTACCGCTAACCGACCTAGAGAGCTTCGAGGTACGCTCAGCCACAAGTCCCACCGACTAAGGTACCGCCGACCGGTACCTACTACCTACTACCTACCTACTACCTACTACCTACAGTACCGGTACCTACTACCTACCCAACTACCATGACAGGCCACAGACCCCGAGCAGGGCTTCCCTATAGCCGCATCCTGAACATGTCAAACCCTCCTCGTTACAATCGTGCTCGCTCGGTCGAAGGTCAGCGCGTCCATGTCGACTGTGTGACCAAGTTTCCATCCGACTTTGCATGAAACGGAGGGAGTGCAGGTCTGAGGTGAGGGAGAGAGAGAGAGGTTTGTTTGGGATATAAAAATCCACACCTTTACGACAAACAGACAAACAGACAAACAGACCGACAGTGATCATCCCGACAGCATACATCACGTGTAACAATCATGTGAAATGGGAAGAAGACGCCGTTCGTCGCATGGCCCGGCACGACATGGCATGGCGCCTTCCGCATTCGAAACTATTATTCATTGGACTCATGGGAAGAGACGGGGGAGACTGTACGGGAGTCGAGATGACGATGGGTGACGCCAGGTGGTGGGGAAAATGGAGGGGACGAAAGTGGAGATGAATGGGATTGTCAAATGTCCAAGGTCAGATGACTTCATCGGTGGAATTGGCATGACGGACTTGGGCGATTTGGTACGGAAGATAGATATTTATAGTATGTCATTGTATCCGTAGTAGGTAGTTGCGGTAGAGCCGGTGGGTGCCTTAGTAGGAGGATATCCCCAATAGTGTGGTCTTGGCCATCATGTCATCATGTGCTCTGGCTCGTGGAAGTAGGTCACGTGATGCTCGCTCGCTCGCTCGTAGATCCGTCACGTGGACGTTCGTTCGTTCGTTCGTTCGTCAACCATTCGGCCTTCACAGCCCTTCAGCCTTCCTCCCACCTGCAATCCTCTCTACCAACCCCAACCCCAACCCCAACCCCAACCTCAACCTCAACCTCAATCCATTTCTCACTTTTCTGCCTCGAGACAAAGGTACCGAACCGGAAAAAAAGAGAGGTCCATGATAACAAGCCACCGAAGGCAACGGCAGAGGACGAGGCAAGCATGCAAGCAAGCTGTTGCACAAAGGCCAGGCTTCCCTCCTTCCTTCACTCAGGATCTCGAACGAGACCGGCTATCCTGACCTCGAGACGACGAATGCTTGGAGCCGAGGAAGAAACTCGCCGACGACTCGTCTCGATCAGATGTCGGCGGTCGGCGGCCGGTCAGCTAGCTAGCACTTCTCGCCAGCAGTAAGCACTGCTGCCCGAGGACAGTTTCCTCGTACTTTGGATCTTCTCTCCGGGGCATTCCCTCGAGCTTTCAATCCGATTCTTGTCTGATCTTGTCCAGCGCTATAAATAAACGTGTCTTTCACGAGGGGCAACATGTTTTGAAAGGGTCATGCTGTCGATGCGCGAATGTTATGCGTCTGTTGTACCTGCTGCAACGCATTTCATGTGTGTCTCACATCCGCCCGATTGCAACATGAAGCACCACCGACTGCCCCGATCACAGTCTGGTGCAGCATCCGCACGGCCTTTCCTGTTGCCAATACTAGGCTGTCAATCGTATCTGACTGGGGCTGTGAGCCGAAAACCTGGTGAGGAAAGCAACAGCGAAGTCCACGATGACAATGTCTCGCCGCATTTCAGAGACAGTTGACCATTTCATGGCACCAGAGGCCATAGAATCAACGACAGCTCTCCCCTACCCTCCCATTGTTGTCCATCTTGTCCATATCTACTTCTTGGTCATGCACAATCGGCCCATTAGCACAGATCAGCCATCAGAATTCATTAGCATCTTCAACCGGGTCTCTCCAACAGGCCGGCGACCTCAAGCCGGACATCCCAAATGCCAGACCATTTTCCAAGTGAAACAAAAACCCCCGGAGCATTATGAAAGTTGTGGATGTACCAAGCTCTTCTACCGAACAAAGGACGGGTGTGGTGATGGATCTCGCCACATGTGGTTCTTGTTCAACAACGTGGACTTGAAGCTTTTTTGGCACCATTGTCTCCTGCATTTGACTCAGCTTGGACCCTGGTAACTGGATACTGGATCTGGCTCTCGTGTCCCACCATGAGCCTTCCAGAATATTTCCTTTATGGCCCACCTTGTTGACTTTTCTCCTTTTTACCTACGCCCAGGATACTCGCGGAGCCGGGACGGAGAGAAAATTCCCTCGATGCCTTGAGAGATTTTCGGATTCGCTGCTCTAAAGTGATTTCTCTTGTGTTCATGCTCAGGAAAATATACTTATATAAAGCGGGATGGCTGAGCCTACCGATGACTTTCACTTTCGTTATTGGAGACTTGCAATCCCCTTCTCCAGGAAAATTGACTATACCTGGACTCTGGACTCTACAGTTACTACCAATTGCCCCTGTACCGCTTTACACTATCTTGCGACTGACTACACTATTCATCTCTTGTCTCTCAGCCCTAAGTAGCCCATTATCCAACGCACTCATTCCTCTACCACACACAATTCAAACTTTCTTAGCATCGCTTTAATGTGCATGAATTCCTCGCTCTGGTAGCTGGTTATACTGGCCTTCACTCTCGCATCGCCTTTCCCAGCTCCAGAGGGGTTGGTTTCCGTCATTGTCTCTAACGCTGGTGTGTCTACCGAGAACACGGTGAGAATTCACAAGATATTCATATACACTCCCAAGCCTCACGTATACTACTCTTTTCCACCACAGGTTCCCGATAGCTACCTCATTGTACAAAAGTCCGAGACTCTCGACGCCGATACCAATCATTTTCATAATAAGATCGAAAGGCGACTGCTTAAGGAAAGGGCCGAAAGTATAATATCGTTTTAAGGGTTTAAGACAGAAAATATAATTATTAATATCAAAGGGTTAAAACAGCTTGCCAAGTCGCTTTAAGTAATTTTCTTTTTCCTCTTTTATACTCTTTACATAATTAGCTCCGCAAAACCACTCGAAAGTAAATCGTTTATATAAAGAGAAACAAACTCCTTGGCTTTCATTTCCCCCCTCAACACCCCAACACAAACACCACTACGCGCCCGCAAACCCAGGCTCTCGCGACCACCAAAGCCAGTACAATAGCCACCCCAACGAACCCTGCCCGGGGTCTTACCCGCACTTCGCGTCAAGCCCGTGGCCTCCTTACTTCCATCATCGACGTCGACGCCCTCTAGTGCAGTTTGTACCGCACGTACCTCAAAAGATTGGCCTGCTTGCTTAATTTTTCATCGCCCTCACGACGACGACGACAAACATTCCCACACTGCTCGCCCGCAGCGGACGGAAAACAAACAAACGTTGTGATTGAGAAGGTTAAAGCGCTAGAGGTATAGAAATGAGGATTTCGCTTACGGTGTGCGAGTGTGCGAGGGTGAATGCGAATATTTATTAAGGACCTGTCGGTGTATGTATATATATATATATATATATGTGTGTGTGTGTGTGTGTATATATTAGGATCTGGAGTCTGAATTGGGGGTTTACGATTGTTTGGAATGAATGAATACTTGCTTGCTTTTAGTATTGGCTTGTAGAAGGAAAAAAGGAAAAAGGGAGGGGGAAAAGGGTTTACTTTTTGTGGTATATATCTCTCGCTATCGGTGATGATGTCTTTGTTGCATCTTTTCTTTTTCTTTTTCTTTTCCTTTTTCTTCTTCTTTTTCTTTTTCTTTTTCTTTTTCTTTTTCTTTTTCTTTTTCTTTTTCTTAAATTTCTTTAAAGCTTTATAGCAGTAGATTGTTTCTCCTAGAGGGTTTATTATATTCTCTCATATGCGCTATCTAAGAGCGTAATCGTCGGCTCGCTTAGGTGGGCCTCCTTTCAGCCTTTCAGTCTTAGTCGGTATAAGCGACTGCGGATCGGAAGCGAGTGCGGATTTTTCGAATGTGTTAGAAATTTTTGTATATTATAGCAATTAATTACTATTACAACTTAAAATTATTTATATGAATAATTAATCTGCGATTATATCTTCTTTCGAAACATCCGAAATCGTATCATTTGATAAAACATTTAACTATCGATTGCTATTTTCAAAGTCTGATTCGTCTTTTACTTTACGCAACGAATCGTTTGAATCTCTACTATTATAAAATTGAAACTATCGCTATCGATATTAATACTAGAAAAAGGAAAAACATCTTGCTTTAAAAAAGGGTCTCTAATAGTATCGGTTATAATTATCAGATCATCGTTATCGTAAGAAAGTTCGGGTTGAGAAAGAGTTGGTCGAAGAATACTTTTTTTACGAGGCCGCAAAATTTGACCTTTAAGAAGTTGTTGCATCTATCAAATCTCTTTCGAATCGAGAATTAAAATGAGCATTGTATTATCGTCTTTAATAATTAAGCTTATAGCAAAGCGTTTTCGTATAATACTTTTACGCTCGCGCTCAACTATGCGATTCCTTTACGATATTTAATATCTTTTTCTTCTTTTTAAATCTTATCGACGCGTTGTTATTTTGCAGTAGATTCAAGATTTTCTTTACTTTGCTGCTTAATAGCAAGCTTGTTATCGATTAATAATACGATTTTAAATGTTTCGGAAAAAGATATGCTCGTAAATTAATTATTTATATAAATATTCTTTAGTTAATTATAATAGTAATTGCTATAGTATATAAGAATTTCTAATACATTCGAAAAATCCGCACTCGCTTCCGATCCGCAATCGCTTATACCGACTAAGACTGAAAGGCTGAAAGGAGGCCCACCTAAGCGAGCCGACGATTAAGCCGCAGTATGCATGCATGCAAGGAGCGAACGAACGAAGACGCTTTGCTTGCTCGCTTGCTCGCTTGCACGCTCGCACAGCGGCTCTCCTGCTTCTAGCCTAGGACTCCCTTTGTTGCCTGACTAGTAAGTTCTAGCTCTGAGGTCTTTTTTTTTTTTTTTTTTTTGACTTGGGTGAGCGTGTTTACCTTCCCGTCTAGGCGAGCATTCGTTCGAAGTTTGAAGTTTGAAGTTTGAAGTTCGAACTTCGAACTTCGATGTGTGTGTATTTATGTGTATATGTATATGTATGTGTATATGTATGTGTATGTGTATGTGTATGTGTATGTAAATTCAGCTCGGCTTTGATGATGATGATGATGATGTGTGTGTGTGCATGTGTGTATGTGTGTATATGTGTATGTGTATGTGTGTATGTACGTACAAGCTGCTTAACCAAGCAAGCCAATCAATCTATCTATTACTTACTTATTTACTTACTTACTTACTTACTTACGACCTACCTCCTTTCCACTCACCTAATTGCTAACGCATACATAGAAGTAGAAGTAGAAGTAGAAATATGAATAAATCTCTTTTCCACTTCGCTTTCGCACCGTACCGCACCCGGAAACTCTCTCTCGCTATGTCTTTTTGGGGGGCTTGGATTTTTTGGGCTTTGGTTTGGTTGGTTTATTTGGGGTTTTGGATTTTTAGGGGGGGAGGAGGGGGGGAATAGGAAGGGGGGAGGGAGAAAGGGAAAGAGAAATTGAGAAAGAATTAAAGATAAAGAAAGAAAAGAAAAGTAAAGAAAAGTAAAGCAGAGCCTAATTCAAATAAACAGAGGACAGAGGGATGGTTTCAGAAAGGCTGTTTACGCTCTAGAATCTAGGATACGAGAGGACTTTTTTTTTCTTTTTCTGGAAGATATATATATATATATATATATATTTGTGTGTATAGACAGATAGATGTATACAGCTTGTTATTTTCAAGAGCGTTGATTGATTAGAGGAGATGATGCTGTTTGTTCATATATATGTTTATATATATATATATAGAGAGAGAGATATATATATATATATATATAGAGAGAGAGATATATATATATATATATAGAGATATATATATATATATGAGGGAAATAGAAAGTAATTTTTTTTTCTTTTTCTTTTTACCCTTTTCAATTAAACAGAGAGTTGGTTTCGGTACCAAAAAGATTCTTTACGATCTAAGAGACGGGACGACTTTTTTTTTTTTTTTCCTTTTGGGATGTATACGCTGCTTTTTATTTTTAAGAGGGTAGATTGAAGATTGAAGGAGATAGGTACTGTTTGTTGATATATATATAGATATATATATATACACATACATGTATATATATACATGCTTTCGCTTATCTGCTCCCCGCCCCCCTCTTCTTTTTTCTAAAAAAAATAAAAAAAAGAGAGAGAGCAAGTCTTGAATAGTGGAGCGAATAACCTAAGCCTTCTTCTTCTTTCTTTATTTTAAAAATCAACTTTTTTTCCTATTTCCCTTTGTGATCTAGGTACGTCTTACTGTCTTAGACGAGCAGAGCAGGTTTAAGCTTGACGGGTCTGAATCAATCACTTCCTCGAATACAGAGAATTGATGAGCATCAGCTAACACAGATATTCTTTACCATTATCTTTTGATTTCCCTTCAGAAGTACTGATTGATCCATAGTTTTGATGCGAAGAAAAAAAAAAAAGGTTCGTTTGTGCATTGGCAGTCAGTTACCTACCTAGTGCTGTATCTACCTAACCTACTTATGGAAACAGCTCGACAGACGGACTCCAGTCGATGGCAGATTTTTCTCCCAATGTAATAACAATAATAATAATAATTATCGAAAGTCAAAGGGGTATTGATAATCCTCCCGAGAAGAATTCACACAAGGCTGGGAGATGGAAAGATATACATACTTCGTGGTATCAAGAGATTCAAGTGGGTGCCGGGACAATGGAATTGTTTTGTAATTTCTCAACTATCGTGATTGAGATTTATGGAACAAATTCCAACCATCGACGATTGATTGACTGACCACCACTAAAGCACGCACGCACATATTCATCTCATCGCACGGCATGGTGCTAGCTAGCTATCCTTTCCAACCCAAACCCTCCTCCCATTTGAATGCTTTCTCCCGAGCATGGAGCAGCGGCGTCGCTATAAAAAACTCCCAGCACTGTATTTTCCTCGTCCTCTCCGCCCTCATCTCTCGTTCTTCACATCTCCTCCCAATTTAATGCATGCAAAGCCTAGAGAGCTTGCTTGCTTGCCACGCCGAGTCTCAACGCCAAAGGCAAAAGGCCACTTAAAAACACATACATCCCATACCCAGGACGTCGGCCCACCCCATAAACGCCAACGCAAAAGCACCTATGAGTCAGATGCATATTGGAAAAACAACTCGTAGAATATGAAGTGAAGAAAATCAACGAGCGCATTGCACTATCGCCGCCTGCGCCAGGCTGCGCTCCGCTCCTATAGTGTCTTTCGTGTCACATTAATCTTTTGTGTTCGTGCTCGCAGCACCACCCCTAATCAATTTCTACCACCTCTCGATTGTGCGGATTGTGCGGATTTCTCGCCTGACTCTGGCCTTGATTGGAAGCCGGTTGCCATCTCTGATGCTGCTGCTGCTGCTGCTGCTGCTGCTGTTGTCTCGGATTCTGGGTCGGTATTTGCTTTTGTGGAGCAGGCGCCTGAACCTGAGCCGGGGGCGGTGCGGACACAGCACTATTCAGATTCTTTCCACTCAGCGCAAACCTCCTCACAGTCTCGTCCAGCTTCACCAGCAGATTCTCAATGCTCTTATTCCGCGCCACACCACTCATCCGCATACCTTTCCAATCAGGACACGGCGACAGAGCCCACAGAGGCGCTAGATCCTCCTCGAGCGCGTCTGGCTCTCCATTACGGGCAGTGGCTACACGGCGGACGTGCCACCATGGCTGAGAATTGCGTGAGCGTAGCTTGACATTGAAGGAGACACTGGCGGCTAGAGGGCTTTTCGGGAAGAGGCTGTAGCGGATGAGGTAAGAGTCTGTGGCCCGAGCGTGGACGATGACTTGTCCCTTGCCGGACAACTCTTCCGCAGACCAGGCATCTTCCATCGTGTCCAGAGCTCGGAGAACGGGAAGAGTGAGGGGAAGAAGAGTTGCGACACCATTGAGGCCTTCTGAACCATTCAGTATAGTCGCCAGGCTATCTGCGATCCGAAGATGCGGGTTGCCTCCCTCCAACATCAGTGCCATGGTATTGTCTGCGGCACTATAATCCACAGCCGCACTATATTTGGTGGCTGTATCAATCCCTGCATCCGATGCGTCAAGGGGGCTGACTGATGAGACCTCTTGATATGTAAAGACGATCTTTCCGAGTGAAACCATGTCGCAAGTCAAGGTATCCTTATGTGTATCAAGGACTTGAATGAATTCGACTAGTCGCTCGACTCTAACCAGGCACTCCACCAAATCAGGAATGACGGAGTCGCCGACCTTGCTGCGTAGCCGGACAGCGAAGGAGGCAGTCTCTGCATTGAAGATAATGTCTTTATCAACTTGATCCTTGATGTTTAGCAGAGCCTTCGGGAGCGAAGCAATCAGGCGTGCTTCTGTCACCAGCACCGAGCGTTCGTCTACGTTGAATGACTTTGGAGGAATGAGTACACTAGGGGCCTGAGGGACTGGTGCTGATGACTGTGATGCCTGCGTGACCGATGTGGAAATGGCGGATTCGGTCGCCTCACTTGGCTTTTGCCCAATGACCTCGATGCCCTGGAACGATATCTTGATGACGTCTTTCGCCCAACTCATGCCAGTCCGGGACAATCTATTTTTCGATGGAATGAGGTCCGAAAGTTTCGCATAGATTGATGGTAGAGCGATCGATTTTGCAAGTTTGCCCTTGACGCTCTTATGCTGGACACGTCTGGCGTGGAGCGTCTTCGCATTGATGTGATGGGATACCACTCCAGCTGTGAAGATGTTGAGGGTAGAAAGGAAAGAATAACTGGTGATAGGGGAGACACTCTTGATCGGTAGCTTGATGCATTCACCCACGCCTAGAACCTCTTTCTTTAGAGTATGAGGTACCATGGCACTGTCTGTGTAAGCTTCCGAGGATAAGGAAATAGGGCAGGAAAGATATCCACTCACGTCTTTATCAGATGCCATTTCTCCCCGCCCATGCTCTGAGTCACAACCAGGTACCAGTCCTTCTCCCAGCCAGGCCGCCTAAACCAAACAGTGGGCAGAGCCTCTTTGCCAACAATCTCAGCCATGCTTTCTTGGCTGAGGCCAGGTTTGTTGACACGAGTCCACCCTACGCTTATGGCACGAACTTGAAGATCCTCCGTTAATAACATTGATCGGAGACGTTCGATGTAAATATGGCCATCCGTCGCTGGGTCCTGGCTTCGTCGGTTGAGGTCGAATTCCGTTTGAGAATACTGTTTGGAGACGGGTCCTAATACGAAGCGGCCAGACATGGGCTCAATCTTGATTGACAAACGGTGTTCTTGAGTCAACTGCACCTTGAGTTCCGAGTCCGCAGGATCGTCGACAGAGATATGCAAAGAAATTTCAAGTTCTCGCGAGGCGTACAGAGGCTTTGCCAGTAACTTTTCGAAGATAGATGTCAGAATATGATCGATGTGTTTCCCGATGACGGTCTTCAGCAGCGATTCCGTAGAAATATCGACATCGTCGAGTTTGATATCCGGGTCCTTCACTTCCTTGAAGTCTCTGAACCATCTGATGAATAATCGGCTGGTGTCTTTGGGGCTTGGACACCGGCCAGGCACTTTGCCACTGTGAACGCCAAGAATGATCCAGCTCTTGGAGGGCCTGGCACTCGACGATTTACCATTCATAGGCTGACCAGAATATCTTCCCACCCAGTATTGGATCGAAATCGGTCTATTCAGGTTCTCTACACTCAATGTATCAGTCCAGATCGACCTAGCCAAGTTATCACCCTGGCGTCGGAACTCTTTGATCTTGTAGGTCAGAACGAGCTCATGCAGGTACTTGTAACATCCGGATAGGCCATCGGTGAAAAGAGTCTCATTGACCCTGCTCTCGATGTAGTTGCGAATTCCTAGATTCATATTTGACGAAGACGGCCGAAATAGGAATCGGAAATCAATGAACCAATACTGCGACCCTGGGTCTTCGTTTGCGACTGTAAGATCTAGTTCAAATTCGCCCGGTACCTTGAATGTCGCACGACCAGACTGGATCGTAAAATTCTTGAACTGTGGAGGAATCTTGTCATAGTCGTCCAGGTTTAATCGCATTGAGAGCAGAGTGTTCAGCTTCTCCATTTGTCGCAGAAGCTCCTTGGCCGTCAAAGGTGGCGGTTTTATGTAGCCCAGCTATTCTCGTTAGTCAACTGCATTGAAGTGATCTAAAGGGGTCCATACATCTGGCATCCAAGATGATTTTCCTGTGGTCAGAGCCTCCAAAGCCGTCTTGAAATCCGGATTTGGCAACCGAAAGTTATGCAATGCCCTCTTGTTGCTCGCCATGGCCTCAATGGCTGTCGTGTATAGCTGTTTTTGAGCTTCCAAATGCAGTCGGATATCAATCAGTTTGCTTACGTCCTCGGCCTTACGACTCCATCCCGTAATAACTAATGCCTTCGTCAGTGATTCGTGGGCGGATGTTGCGTAATTCATCAATCGCATCTTCTTCTGGACATTCTCCTGTGACGAGTCGTCCGTAGCACTATTGCCATTGAGCGCAGAGGCAGGCGTAGGCATTTGTTCCAAATCACTTAATGTGTTGATCAACTCCGTATGGGTCTTTTGCACTACTCGCTGCAGAAACTTTGAGAGAGGCTGATAACCTTCCGTCATATGGATGATCTCTTGGGGAAGCAGGTCCATTTGCGCCTGGACATCCCATGGTCCGCCATTACCTCCATTTTCGCGCCGCGCATGGTCTGCGAGTTTGCCATTTGATAGACTGGGGGCAGCAGGGCTCGGTGGGGTCATGTTTTGCTGAGGTTCTGCTCTGGCCTCGCTTTTGTCTTGCATCTTATCGGAAGTATGCGATCCCCCGTTCACACCATTCGGGCGCTGATCTCTATCGTGGTTTGTATGTGAGCCATTCTTGCTCTTGGGATCCATTATGACGCCGGGCATGCTCCTCGGTTTTGGATCTCCGTCTGGCCTCTCAACTCCCTGCAGATCACCCCCAGCTGCCCCCTCTGCAACCTGTACCCGCGGTGTCAACCCTATCTTGTCTGTCTGGTCAGGTCGTGGAAAGGCGAGGTTGGGGTTTTGAGAAGAGCTCGAAGAGCAGGGGGTGCGCTATTGTGGATGGTCGAGGAGCATGGGCGCGTCGAGTGTTCCAGTCTATTCTTTTTACAATAGAGCTGCAGGGTCGCGTCTCAATCCCCCAGACGAGGCCGATCGCGCGACGGGGATCGTGAAGGTGAGGATGCAATACCGAGCGCGCCCTTGTTCCGGGAGGGAGGGAAGGTGTAGGCGTTGGGCTCGGCGCCGTGCCCTGCCTGATTGTCCAGATCGCAAAGGGTCGAAGGAGGAGAAGTTGGCCAATATCGCCGGTTGTTCTGTTGTTCGTCTCGTCTCGGCCGTCGTGGGGGGGGGGGAGGGGATGGGTAGGTTGTTGTTCAAGGTTGCAGCGTTGGGTAGTTAATCCACGTTAAGGCTCCGTAACTTCAAAGAATGGCATGGCAAAGGCGGGTGGGGCCTTTGCGACGCGCTAGTGGAGTGGAGCGGAGTGGAGGCTCTCTCGCAAAATTGAACCGCGGGTGGCTTAGTCAGCATTGGGCGGGTAGTAGGTACTACTACGTAAATAGTTCTACCGTAGTATCTACCGTAGGCGAGCTCTGGATGAACGGACGGACGGTTGAATGGATCGCTTCAATTTGTTGATCATCATCATCTTCATCATTCCCGGATTACTGAGGACTATATAGACTAAGTTACTCTTGGAGACGTGGCATGGTAATACTACTACCGGTACACTACTACATTACCCAGTGATACCTAGTGACCAGGTTAGAATGGAGAAGAGCGGCTCTCTTGACTGGCCTGGATCGGACCGGAAGCACAACAAACTGTAATTAGTCAATCCAAGGATATGTCGAGTATTTAGTAGCTATATATAATATGCATCTACGGATTTTATATATATGCGGCAATTATTGCCCTTCTTGGATGCGGCAAGTATTTAGGTACCGGTATGCCCTGTCCGCACCATCTCTCTTGCGTCGATCTACTTACTTCGGCCCCCTCCTACTGTGCTTATCTCCCCTCGTTGTACACCCGTCTCTTCTCGATTTGTTTACCTACAACTAACGGGGTATATCATTCCTATTGTCATCCCGCGGCCAACAAAGGATGTTCCCGCCACCTCTCGGACCCTCCGGTAACACAATGTTCTAAACGCCCTCTCCTTTCACTGGCCAGCGCCTATCGCGTCACTACGGAGGATACCTTACCCTCGGACACCGACACCAGACATCATAGCACAATGGTCCCTCGCAGCCATTCCGTCCCCAACCCCAACTCCAATCCCGACCTCGAACCCGATACTAGGCCTCATCGACCACCACGCGCCCTGTCTTCGAACAGTGCCAAACGATCCTTCCGATCCTACACCTCTTCTTTCGAAGCAGATGATGAGAGGTCGAGTTCTGGCGACAACGCGAGCATGGGTCCTGATATAGGCGGAGGCGTCCGAGATGGACCGTCGCAGTACGAGGGCGAGGATACGCGGTTGACGAGTCGCAAGGAGCTGTCGGGCTGGTACGCCTATGGATTTGCGGCGGAGGTGTTTGTGATCTGTGGAATGGGTGAGTGGCAGAGCTCTTTTGGCTGTTCGGATGCTGTGTGGGGATGTGGAGTGGGGTGAGCTGCCCGGAGGAGCTCGAGTTGATGAGGGGTTTAATCTCTGAATTACCTGGGAGCTCCTATATTCCACAAGAGGGCTGTTGGAGTCCCGACTCTTCGGATTGATGGTTGAAGCAGGATCTTAAGCTGGGCTTAACAGATGTTGTGCTGACATCAACCAGGCTCATTCATACCCATCACCCTCGAACAGCTTGCCCGCGAGAATGGAGTCCTTCTATCCGATCTTACGACGCCCTGCGCATCGAGTTCCTCCCATCCAACTCCCAATCATCCTGGTCAAAATGCCGTCAAAGATCTCGGGCAGTGTGTAGTCTTTGTGCTGGGAATACAGATCAACACGGCCAGTTTCGCCATGTACACATTTTCTCTGAGCGTGCTATTTCAAGCTCTCCTGGTAGTCTCTATAAGCTGTGCTGCAGATCGCGGAAACTATCGAAAACGGCTGCTTCTGTTCTTTGCTTTTGCTGGCTCAATAGCAACGATGCTCTTTCTACCGGTGGTTCCCAAGGTCTATCTTTTGGCAGCACTCCTTGCAATGATCTCAAATACATGCTTCGGAGCAAGCTTCGTGCTCCTAAACTCCTTCCTACCCCTGCTGGTCAGGCATCATCCCAAAGCACAATATCAGACTCCAGATTTTACGCCAGAGCTGCCGTCGACCGTACTAGAAGATCAGCCGTCGGAAAGTCAACTAGACTCTGAGGACAATCTAGAAAACTCAAATGCAGCCCTCCTTTCTCCCTCGCCGGACTTGACGCGGCCCTTACCGCCATCTAAAAACCTCACTCCTATCGCGTTGCAGCTGTCTACACAAATCTCATCTACCGGAATGGGAATCGGCTATAGCGCAGGACTATTTTTGCAATGCGTTTGCATCGTGGTCATCTTCTCACTAAAGAGCACGACTTTCTCCCTCCGTCTTGTCCTCTTCATAGTAGGGGCATGGTGGTTCATCTTCACCATCCCCGCCGCCCTGTGGCTACGTCCTCGCCCCGGCCCTCCCCTCCGCAGCGGTCCCAATGGTGAAAACACGACCTGGCTCGCCTACGTAACACACGCCTGGAAATCTCTCTGGCGAACCATCAAGCTCGCCCGCCGCCTGAAGGACATAACACTCTTCCTCGGCGCGTGGTTTTTGCTTTCAGACGCCATTGCCACCGTCTCTGGTACTGCGGTCCTCTACGCAAAGACCCAACTGCACATGGCTCCCGAAGCTCTTGGCCTCATCAATGTCATCTCAACTACCGCCGGGGTGCTAGGCGCCTTCTCGTGGGCGTACATCTCTCGCACCTTGAATCTCCGACCCCATCAAACAATTCTAGTATGCATCTGCATCTTTGAGATTATCCCTCTCTACGGCCTCCTAGGCTACCTCCCCTTCATTCAAACGTGGGGCGTCATCGGCCTCCAGAAACCTTGGGAAATGTACCCCCTCGGTTTCGTCTACGGCTTCGTTCTGGGTGGACTGAGCTCCTACTGCCGATCTCTGTTCGGGGAATTGATCCCCCCTGGCTCGGAAGCGGCGTTCTACGCGCTGTACGCCATTACGGACAAGGGCTCTTCAGTGTTTGGGCCTGCGATTGTAGGCGCGATTGTTGATCGCACGGGGGAGATTAGACCGGCATTTTGGTTCTTGGCCGCTCTGGTGGGCTTGCCGGCGCCCTTGATTTATTTCGTAGATGTCGAGCGCGGGAAGCGGGAAGGTGAGAAGTTAGCAGATGTGATCGATTCCGTCAAGAGCGTTGAGGAGAGTGGGACGCAGAGTCCGGCGGAGCAGCAGGGACTGTTGGCTAGTGATGACCAGGCTAGAGTGGGGAGATAGAGAGCGCTCTGCGTCTACATGTCGCAATTGATGTGGTATATATTTGGATACCGGTTGCACAGCGAGGCGTTGTGGTCTTGACAGTCGAGCTATGAAAGTCTTATGAATAACGCGTATGAACAACGCTAACGCCCGGGGTTTCCTTGAAGGAAAACCTAGTGTGCTTGCCCTATACGCACGCTCGCTGTGTGAAGAATGGATGGCTTCCCTTGTGCTGCTAAAGAGCACGAGAATACGGACGCCAAAAATTTCTTTTGGGTGAGGCGGACGCTGTAGTGGACTTGGGTGGCAACGTCGACGCGGGCTTGGAGCTTCACTCTGGAAGCTGGCTTGAAGAAAGTTGGGACGGGGACGGGGACGGGGACGTCGACGGGGACAGCTGTTGACCGTGGCATATCTGGTTCGGGGCCCGAGGACGCGGGATATCGTGAGGGTAAAGTTTTTGAATTCTTGATTAGATTCAAGAGTTTTGGGCCGCCTTGGTATATGTTCTAGGATATGATCAAAGCAGTTTATATCAGGCCTCGAATTTTATTTTCTTTCTTTTTTTCCTTTTTCTTTTCTTTCCATCTTCCTTGCCAACTCTTTCGGATTAAGGCGACGGGGAATCTGCACGAGTTTCTACCTGGCTCGGATCACAATCGTTGGGATATACGGAGTAGACCCCGCAGCCAGACTTGCATTTTTTTTGATGTCTTCGAGATTCCCTCGGGGGTATCTGGGATCTGGGAGCGACTTGCACCAAATGGATGGCAAAGCAAAGCAACTAATCCACTCTTGACCGCCGCAAGCCACCTTGTGGAAAAGTAGCCGGTGAGGAGTTCCCGCCGCCATGCACAGAAATCGATGCGTACGGAGTAGTCGTCCTCCGATGACATTCCTAATCTGCGCGAGAATCTGTTTTGTACATATCTCTTTTCGCGGGGCTAGAAGCGGATAAAATCGATACAGAACTCACCGATCTTTCAAACTGCGCTCGGGGTAACAGCATTTCCGGCTGTAGGTAGGCCTAGGAACATGGTTTAGCTCTCTCTTTATCCATAGTACATCCTGCGGAAGTAAATTGGAAGCTGCATAGAATACTGGTTTACGGAGGGATATATTGACGCGGCGGGGGTGTCTGTATACGGGAACCAGGTGGAAGTTGGAGAAGGCATCAAAGCGTCGGAAGTACTTCGTAGACCGCGAGAACAGCCCTCGTCAGCGGCCGGAGTCTCGCACCTCTTTGGGAAAGCACGGACATGGCGCCGTGCCGTTTGACATCGTTGTCTCTGGCGAGGTCTCGGAAGAGAGTCCGAAGAAGAGCGTAGAGGATTTGAATAACAAGGCTTAGCGGAAAACCGAGGCCGCCGCGTGAAGCAAGCAATTCCTCGGGAAAGTAGCGAAGGGTGGTTTCCACTCACCTGGAAATTGGTAAGCGAAGAAAACACAAGCATCACTTGGTTACCATAAAATACGTCCCTAACCAAAGTCAAGAAGTCTCTCGCGGGTGTGGCACGGGCAAAATTAAAGATTCAGTTACGTGCCGATCGGAAAGGGCGTCATTCTTCGAGATATCATTCTGGCTTGTAACAAACAGCGTAGATATGCTGGAATAGGTGGTCTGGACTTCGTATCCTTTGATACGATACCCGGAGATCACTTTATTCAAATGAGTAGCAATCAGCTTTAAATGTGACTTTTTGATCTTACAGTGTATCTCTTCAAGTCCGATAGGTAAAAGCATAGCCAGTATACGAGGTCTCACCTCCGTAGGCTTTCTATATCCTGGTGGGTCAGTGAACATCAAACGTGCTAATGATACCTCCAAAGGTCATCATGGCTATCCGTCAACATTACGACCGACCATGCAACAAAAGTGTAATTAGTGCCGAAGGGTTCCAAAGCTTAGCTGGAAGCTCGTATCAACGGGGTGATGCTACAAAGTTCCAGCTTACAAACTCACATTAAGGGGTTTTTGGTGCTGAAACGGGATAAACACAACATCATAGACATTTTTGAACACTGCCGTTGCCCGAAGCCCGTAACAGCGGGATGTTATGAGGTTCCAGCTTACAAATCCAATCGGGTGGATCTGTACCGTATTGTGTAATGTATTGCAATAGGACAATTACTACGTATCATTACAGATATCGACCAGTGAACAGGGCGACCGCTCTCGCAAGCAAGCAAGCCGCTGAAGCCACCGCCCCAAGTCGCCGGTTGATAAAAGACCAACCGCAGTTTATTTAGTATTATAAGGTAGGTGATCCCCCCCCTCATTCTCGCCTCCTTTTTTTAAGCGCTTATCGCGGAGGCCGGCTGGTTCATTTTCCACGCAGCGAGATGCAATGACCCGCTATCCGAGGCCGACAAAGCGAACCAGTCTATAATAGTGGGACTTGACGTCGCAACTTTAAGGGCCCTTCCTTAAAGTAAGCGAAATAATTACTGGTAGTATATCCCGCGTCAAATGCTCTTAAAATCAAGCAAAAATCTAATAAAATTTACGATTTCAATCGCGTGCATCTTGGCGAATATTAGAGCTATAATATCAAAAGTAATATAATAAATCGAGACACTCGTAGAGCGTCGATGTGAAGGGGATTTATCTATTAATATACGTTGTTGGCTTCGAAATAAAAGAAAATGAATAATAGAAATTATATGACTAAAACGGCAAACCCGTAGAGTATCGATACATCAAGATTTCGTATATTGATTTACATTCTTAAGCGTAGAATTGACGGAAATAAAAGTCTTTAACGCTTCTTAACGATTTTAACGATACGAATCTAGAAAAATCAAGTGAATCTTTTATTAAACAATAATATATTAGAATTCGAATAACATGATAGCCAATTTTATTAAAGTAATAGAAACTATTTTTTTTAGTAAGAAGCTTTTCGTATATAAAAAGAAATAAATATAAATTTCATCTTCGACGCGAGACATAATTGTTTCGCCTACTTTTGTTGCGACGTCAAGTCCCACTATTATATCCTAATCGCCTGGGCCACGCTTCCTCTCAATCGCTTGGGCCGCCCTTCCTTTCACACCCCCTTGGTATAGCAGCATGTTTACTGAAAGTTTCCATCTATTAATATTGTCCGACGCTACGAATATTGGCAATACATTAGGCCGAGGCTGCTTTAGCGCGTTCTTCTGACGTTCTTACTGCTAATGCAAAAAGCAAACGCGTCGGAACTAGGTCTATCTTAGATCTCAACTTTTGTGCATCTCAAATATCCAGTTGATGATTTTGCAATGACTAAACCTACGATCAATAGCGTGCTTGCAAAGGTACTTCTCAAGTGATTCTATCAAGGATTTCTTATTCGACGAATATCTTCCTGCGCAAGCCAGTCCTCTTGCGAACTCTTTGTCTCTTTCATTATATTATTAAGCTCCTAGCTCACCAGTCCTTCCTCCGTTATATATCGACCAACTCTCTCTACGACTATGAGCATAACATTTGGATATCCCGACATTTTGTTCTTAAGTAGCAAGAGGGTTGCGCTATCTTGTTTGAAACCAGATGAAATGAGAACCCAGCCTTCAGCTGCACGTATATATGGCGTCGGACAACACTCATTAATTAACGGATACCGGTATCTTTATAGAGGTGTTGAGGGACGGGCGGCCCAAGCGATCATGCATCTTGGAGATTTCTGGTCTCGACTACCCGAGACGCCCAAGCCAGGAAGACTTTCGATCGCGGTGACTTGTCATGGACGTATGACGTATTTGTAATTATTCATATATATGAAAGATGATCTTCCCCAACAAAAGACGGATGACGAATCGGTCAAACACGGTGCCCGCGACGGGAATCTTATTTCTCCAGCTACCGTCAGTACCGGTACAGTAAAGGGGCAACACCGGGTGAGACCGCCACCGTGGCGCAGATGAGCAGAGTTACAGGATCCACGAGCATGCAGGAGGGTTGGTTTCCGATTAGATTAATTAATATATTTTCATTTTCATTTATATCTGTTTTCATCGACTTTTCATCTTTAACCCCGATGCCGATTCGAGGAATTAAACAGCGAAGCATTGCCGCCAGAGCTGCATGCCCAAGACCGCTCTTGGCCGTCTAGAGTCCAGATGAAGGGGGAAATGTGAACGATGTTTACATATAAAGTACAAGCGAGTCCCCCCCATAGGACGACGTCAGGGAAAGCAAAAAAGCAAGACTTTTTTTTCCTTCATTCATTCTTTCACTTCCAAACTTCTTAAAGAAGACGCTCCTTACTTACGCTACTATCATGTCTTTCGCTTCCTTCACTCTCTTCGCGGCGCTGGCAGCCACCACGGTTTCTGCCCATGGATATGTGGAGGTGGCCACCATCGGCGGTGTCAAGTACGATGGCTACAATCCCAACACGGACCCGTACATGAACCCGCCCCCCGATCGCATCTTCCGCCCCATCCAGGGCAACGGACCCGTGGAAGACTTGACCTCGCCGGATTTCCAGTGCGGTGGCTACACCGCCGGTGGCGTCGTCGGCTCCAAACCCGCAAAGCTCACCGCGGACCCGGTGCCGCCTGGAACCGAGGTGGAGTTGAAGTGGACGCTCTGGCCCGACTCGCACGTAGGCCCGGCGTTAACCTATATGGCTCTCTGCCCCGGCAATGATTGCTCGGCCTTTGAACCGGGAAACGAGTAAGTCTTTTTCTGTTGTTTTGAGACTTTGAGGACGGGAATGCAGAGCAGAGTAGAGTTCATGAATTATTGACTGACTCCGAACAGAGCCGTCTGGTTCAAGGTCCAAGAGGAAGGCCGATCGGGCACGAGCAACGTCTGGGCTACAACTCCTCTGATGAAAGAGGGTGGCTCCATCACCTACACCGTATGTACTGCCTCTACTATCGTTGTCTATCTTCCAGAAGCTGGTATTCAGCGAGTTGCCAAAGACAAACCAATCTCAATGCCCTTCCTCTCTATCCAAAACTCTACATGGGACCCTCGTGACTCCAGATCAGCCAGCTAACCTCAATCCAAGATCCCTTCCTGCCTGGCCCCAGGAACCTACCTCGTCCGCCACGAGCTCATTGCGCTCCACGCCGCGTGGGCCTACCCGGGCGCCCAGTTCTACCCATCGTGCCACCAGATCGAGGTGAGCGGCTCGGGCACCACCACCCCAGACTCGCTCGTCGCACTCCCAGGCGCCTACTCCCCGACCGACCCGGGAATCACGGTCGACGCCTACAAGGCCCAGGAATACATCATCCCCGGCCCGCCCCTCTTCACCTGCGGTGGATCCTCCTCAGGCCCGGCACGCCCGGCCCCGGGCTACGGAGATCCTACACCGGTTGAAGAGAAATCGGACCCCGTCCGCGAGCCCGAGTCCACTCCTACCCCAACTCCCAACCGCAAGTGTTCAAATAAACGTGGAAATCGTGCTAAGAAGCGTGCTTCAAAGCGCGCGAAAAAGGCTGCTAAGCGTGAGGAGGCAAAACCCTAAACCCCAGCCAGCCTATAACCAACCAACCAAACCATCCCTCCTCTCTCGCTCTCGCTTTCTCTCACTTCGGTGGATCTTTCTCGCAGCTAGCCTGTCATCCGTATATATATATACACTACATTCCACAAATCCAAACTTTGTTCTATTACTGTGTATTATTTAAAGAGAATAACCCGCCCCGGCCTTACTTCAAGAATTGAGATATAACTTGATTTTTGGCTATTTACCAACTACCTCCCTCTCCTTCTCCCTCTTTGCCCGCTTTTGTGAATCGGTGATACTAGTATGGTAGACAGAGACTCCCTACCCATTACCATCACCATCGGCCCGTGTCCCTAGCCCCCTATGTACTCGATCGGGCGGTCTGAAACGCGGAGGAAAAAGGGGGGGCTAAGGAAAGCGGGAAACGGGGTGATACAGTAAGTACATAAGTACAGTATGATGTGATTGACGATCAAATCAAACTGTCCAAGCATCAATAGCTTATCCTTTCCATTGTGTATTAGACGCGTTACAGTTAAACAAGCACCGAGGCAGGGGGGTATAAGGTACGCAGATTAAGGGTGGATGCGGAGAATCGGAGTCTCTCAATGCGGGATTCTCGGAATTTCGGAATCCAGCAAGCGCTGTATTGGGTATATTTATATACGTATGTATAAATAGTTCTTTCTCTCTCTCTCTGTCTATTTCTCTTCTTCTTTTAAATGTAATACTGGGTCTTTGGTAGGCCGAGTCCCAAGTGGTGTTGCAGGGGGGCATAGCAAGAGGTAAGTTATACAAGGGTTATAAGAGCCAATTGAAAATAAAGGCCACTTAACCTTACGTTTCTTTCGTATTGCTTATATTTTTTTTCCCTTTTTTTTAGGGGCTTAAAATCCTTGTGTATTCGACCCGTTTTTCGTCTATTAATAACTATAACGGAAAATAATCAGTTATTGAATTCTCCGATTCCTTTTATAAACGGAGCCTCTCTACGACTTTTGCCTCTTGAATATCGAAAAAAAAAAAAAAGAAAAAAAAAACCACGTATAACAGTCAGTGCACTGACTATTACGTTCGGAATAATCATTCGATCCGGTCGAATTCGAATCAAAATTGCCTCTCGATTGGGCTATACTTCGACCGGCTCGAAAAAGGATATCAAAAAGAGTATCATTATATTCTTTGATAAATTTGGATTAGCTCGCCATCGACGTTCAACTTTTTAAAAGAACTGGATGCAATCGATAATTGATTTTTTCGCGAGAAAAGGGTTATAAGCTTCGAAATTAGCTTCTAGCTCACCTTTTTTTTGTCGATTCGTTTTATTGAAAGATATCCCTTCTTTTTTCGTCTTTTTTTTTCTTTTTTCTTTTTGCTTTTGAGCTTATTTAGAAGTGGGGAGAGTATATCATCCATCATTTTTTATATATAAACTCTTAGCGTAAATTACTCTATCGAAAATGTTATTAAATGATTAATTTATTTGACTGATTTGACTGATTTGACTGATTTGACTGATTTGACTGATTTGACTGATTTGACTGATTTGACTGATTTGACTAATCTGATTAATCTGACTAATCTGACTAATCGATTATAAAGCATACCGGTATATTAGCCGCCGCCGCAGCAGCAGCTCGATACCGGTACCCGCCCGATAGGGACAAGCTTGTGGAAGATGGGTGGGAAGGGGTATTCAAGGGGTGGCTCAAAAGCTGAAAACTCCACTCCGAACCCCCTGGCTTCCCTACCTACCCTCCGGCGGTAATTGCGGAGGTACAGCGGTGGACTTCTCTCTAACCTATCATGGAAACTAGCTTAATCGAGAAATACTTTCATGTTATCGCGTTTAGCGATACGAAGCGGGGGACCGTAAAGGTGCCTGTTGCTCGATTAAGCTAGTTTCCACAATAGGTTAGAGAAGTTCACCGCTGTACCTCCGTATTACGCCTGGGAGGTAGTACTTAACGCACTGGTTAGTCGGTCGAATAAGATCGGTAGGATGGATGGGAAACATGGGATGTACTGACGGAGAGAAGGGGGGAGGAGGGATGGGAGGGGTGGAGATATGATATATAAAGAGAACAGGGAATAAGGAAGGGAGGGAGACCTCGCAGTATTCATATTCATACATTTTTACTCGCTAAACTCTTAAGCCTCGCCCCCTGAAGTAAGCGACAAAAGCCGAATAGCAAAAGAGAATGCGAATATTCAATATTCACAGCCCGAGTTACAGCCACAGACAGATACCGCAAAGGAGAAATCATTGCCGAAAAACTACTCATGACGCTGGATACCTAACGAAGAAACCTGTCGGTGATCGCCTTCGGCAAATGGTTCAGAACCCAGAATACCTTGCACTTGCCCTTCAATATCGCTCGCTGGTAGACAGCCTTCTTGCCTCCCTCCCCGTCATTTTCGTATAATAACTTCTTTTGCAGACCTGAACGAAAAACAAAAGTCAACAGCCATCACGATAGGGGAAAGAGGGCGAGAGATGCTACCAAGTACAGTAGGACAATCAGTGAGGAGACGCGGGGGCTCCGCCAATATACGTACAGCTCTGGATGCTCGTTTTCGGGGCTCCTTCAGTACAGAACATGTCTTGCGTCATGCCATTCGTTGTCCGCTGGGCCCTGGCTGCTCGCTCGAATAGGTCCTCTTCATACGCCCGCACTTTCTCATCGACTGATTCGGTCGGGATTGTAAGAAGATAATTCTTCCTTGTGATTAGAAAGCAGAAGGTGGTTATAATTGTGTTATTATTCGGTTATCTAAAAGAAAGAAGATCTCTTCCGAAGAAGAGAATTGTATACAGTTCTCTTTCTACGCTAGCCAGCTATTTATTCTTTCAACTAGCAATTATTATCCATCTCTTCTAAAGTTGCTTAGCAGTAATAGCACAGACTTTATAAAATAAGAATTTCTTACTTTAACACTTCCACTTTAATGCTGCTAACAGCTCTTATTGCTTCGTCGTCTTATCGAGAAAATAAATTTCTCTTTTCAATATACGAAAAAGCTAAGTGAAGTTCTTCGCGTATTTAAGAGTTTAATACTAGCTTCGATCGATCAGTCATACTTATTATCTTAATAAACTTTTAAAACAAGACCTTCGGCAATAGTTTAAAGAAGCCGTCGGCAGCTATCTTTGCTATAAGTATATAAGATACGAAAGACTTCTTTTAGTCTATTAAATCGCGAACGTAATAGTAAGCGATATCGATATACTTCGATCGTTTCGTAAGATGAAGGTTCTTAGCGAGTGCGATAGCGCTTTAGTTATCGCCTTTTATCTTTATAGTTTAATGATTTTTAGCTATATAATTATCGAATCTTATATCACGAAAGATCTAAGCAACTTATTAGCTTTGCTTTGCGGTGTAACATATAGCCGCGTATTCAGCTTTCGTAATAGCCGTAATTATAAAGGCTTGCTTGCGATTGCCGAAGAATACTAGCCTTCTTCTTATAAGACTTATTATAGCGGAGATGCTCTTTTTGCCGTCTTTATCGCTATTATAGTTTGCATTAAAGTACACAATTAAGCGTCTTAACAGGCCGAAAGAAATAGCGAAAGAAATAGTAAACCGTAAGTAGCGCATCAAGCGCTTTAGCGCTAAAGCGTAGTGCTTTGCCGGGTCTTGCATATACTAGCTTAAGCGATTAAGTGCAAAAGCGATATCCGAGCGAATATATACTATTATATACATTAATAAACTAATAACTTTACGATATTAAATAGCATTAACCTTTTTATTATAATCCGAAGCTGAGCGGAGATCGTTATATCTATTTATAAATGTGAATATATTCTTTACGTTAAAAACGAAGTTCGAGATCTTAAACTTGCTTAAGACTTTGTTTAAGTATACCTTTTGATTAAGTTTAATAGTCTTTTTCTCTTTGTCTTTAATAACTTTAATTCCGAAGATTATTGATATTTCGCTTATTAGCTTAATAACAAATCGCGAATGTAAGCGGTCTTTAAACTAATTAAAGTCTTTAACATTCGAAGCAGCTATAGCTAAGTCGTTTACGTATATTAAGAGTTTGATTTCTTTTTTAAAGTGTACGAATAAGCAAAGGTCTGCTTTGCTTTATAAGAATCCTTAATTAAAAAGCTCTTTTTTTATTAAAAGGTTTCAGTCGCGTGCAGATTGTTTAAAGCCGTATAAAGATTATAAAAGCCGGAACGCAGATCTTCGCTTCGTGCGTTTTAAGTCTTTCGAGATCTTTATTTATAGCTCTTTTTTAAGTGTAGACTCGGTAAAAGCGTTTTTGATATCGAATTAACGTGTCTTTATATCTTCATAAGCAACTATTGCAAAGAATGCTTTAAAAGTCGCTATTCTAATTGTAAGCGTAAATGTCTCGTCGTAATCAACGTTATATATCTAAGAAAAGCCTTTCGCTATTAGCTTAGCTTTAAAACGTTCGAAAGTCTTATTTGCTTTGAACTTAAGTATAAATACTTATTTATAGCTAATAAGATTAGCTTTAAGTAAAAGAATACGTTCCTTTTATATATAGTTAATAATAAGTATAGCAAACTCGGCATCAATAGCTTCTTTCTATCTTTTGCTATATATAAAATGCTTTACAACTTTTTTATAAGTAATAAAGATAAAGATGTCGTGCTTAGCCGCGTGCGCTACTATTGCTATTTCTTTAGTATCCGACATATCGACAGCTTTATTAAACCAATTAAGAATAGCTATTATTGCTTTTTCGTCTTTTATTAATAAAACGCCTTTTCTCTTTCTTATAATAAGTAAAGTTTAGAACGTAAAAGTCTTAGCATATCGTTTACCGTAATCGGTGTCACTTGCATGTTTATCTAGCTTAATATCGAGTAGATTCTAGCTTTGTTAAAGCTATATCGATATCTTAAAAGCATTAAAGAGCTCTTTATCGGCTTTCCTTTTAGTTCCGGTGATCTTTTAAAAAGTAATCTATATAAGTTAATGATCTTGCCGAAAAGGAATTGAGTTAATCGTTTTATCGTTAAAGTCTTC